ATCGTAAAGAGTTTGGACTTACCATCCTTTGCAATACTATGAATTAATTCATGAGCCAATTCTCTGTCTCTCTCTTTTTCTCACCAATCTCACCACTGTTTTTCTAGAGTAAGCCAGCTAAAATACATAGTAAAGGCCAAGAAAAGTTCTGCAGCTAAAATACACCCAGTTTAATCCAGTATTTTCCAAGTTTAACCACAAAATACTTTTTAATATAATATCTATTATCTCAAAACAGCTTGGAAAGTACTTTTCTACGACTATACCTTAGACAAAGATTTATCTGTAGTCTATGTCAGCACTATTAGACTCTGAATGTGTTTTATTCAGGAACTAACAGCACGAGTATTGGAACAAGAATTCCCCACATTCTTTTTTTCTGTACATGGATAGGCAGAAGAAAATAACTATAAATTATATGAGTACAATAATGCAAGATATCTATTCTGGAGCATTTTATGTGTAGTTATGTCTTATGAAAAAATATCTACTGTGAAATAAACCCCCCATGGCTGTTCTTTTTGTAAAATGTTCTCTTATGGATCTCTTTGTCCGTTTGGGTTCCTATAACAAAATTCCATAAACTGGTTGACTTGTAAACATACATTTATTTATCTCCCTTATGAAGGCTAAGAAATCCAAGGTGTGCATGGACTCCATGTACAGTGAAAGTCCATCTTCAGTTTCAGAGATGGCTCCTTCTAGCTGTGTCCTCCTCCCATAGTAGAAGGGGACAACACAGTTCCTTGGGCCTGTATTATAAGGGCATTAATCTCATACATGAGATCTCTGACCTTGTGTTCTAATCACCTCCCCAAAGGATTTCAACACATGAATTTTGGTTAGTCACAAACATGCAGCCCATAGCAATGGCAATCCCTGGGTACTAGGAAGACATATTGAAATACCATCAATTGCAGTGTAATTGGTACAAGATAATGTATGAATAGCAGAGAGCCTAAAAAAAATCAGCTACCCCGTGGCTCCTTTTTCTCTTACTTTCCTTGAATATGTTTCAATAACTGGTCTTTGCTAAGTGCAGATTTTTTTGCTGACTATATCCCCTACCCAAACCCAGCAAGTCTTCCATCTCCCCAGTAACATGAATTCAAATACCCTGTTCCTCTGCACTGGATTTAAACATTATTTATTTTAACCAATGCTTGCAAGTCCTACAAGACTGAAATGTCTCTGAATATTGGGGTTCAGAGAACAGTAAACCAAAATGTTTTCTCTTGATATGCTGAAAGTTCAAAGGTGAAGAGGAGAATCTCAGAAGCAGGACTGTTTCTCTGACCTACTCCCACTCTCTCTCCTTAATCTGGCCATATGAAGTAGAATTTCCCTGATCCTTTCTCCTTGGAAGTGAGCCATAAAACCTAGGAAGATGACTTTCTAACCTTCTCCCCTCTTTCAATACTCCCCCAACTAGTTCTACCAGACATTAATAGATATTCTACAAATGCCTATTAATCTGTAGAATGTATTTATAAGGCAGGTTCCCTGCCTTATATTGAGAGAAAAGAAATGTTACACAGGGACTCCAAGAGGAATCTGAGCAAACAGAACCCACCGAGTTCCCCCTAGTTCATGATCATCAGATCATCCTATTGTCTAACAACTGTTCATAAAAACAAAGTCTTCCCTAGCTAGGTGTTTGGTCTTCACCTCCTTTTTTTTTTTTTTCTAAGTCCTAGAAATCAAGCCCAGAGTATTGATCGTGCTAGGCAAGTGCTTTATCTCTGAGCTACATTTCAGTGTCTTCATTTCTGAGGTCTCCTGTGTCTTAAAGCTTGTGTTACACAGATCTATCATGCTTTTCTCTTGTTAATTGGTCTTTATTACATGCATCTTATCTTGAACCTTGTGATGGGTGAAGAGAAATTTTTCTCTCCCACATGAGAAGGGCTATTTCCATTTTGATCAAGATGAACTCTGTAGTCCTAGTGCCTGGGGACCAGTGGGAACTCTTAAGTGAAGGAATAAAGAATTGAAGGATTCTTCCATCTAATTTTTCTCCTGATTCCATACAAATTATTCCTCTGTAGCCAAATTAGAGTGCTTTTCTCTACTCTGCTATCTCTATAGATCTTCATACTTTTAACCTTTAAAAAAAATCTGTGCCAAGGACCCACGAGATCATGCTGCATACACACACACACACACACACACACATATATATATACACACACACACACACACACACACACACACATATACACACGTGCTCGCGTGCACACACTTATATGGCTATACATTAATTTACTTTCTAAAATAAAAATAATAAAAGCAGATAATTAGGTACTAAGCACCATAGTAGAGAGAGATGGAAATACAGGTTGTTAGAGCTTTGGAGAGAAAGGCTGAATCAGTTACAGTTGTATCATTTTCTGGGTCAAGCAAAATTGTGCAAAAGTTTTCAAAACTATAAAAAGAAAAGCAGAGGCTCAGCCTTAACTCTAGAAATGGTTCCTTTTCCCCCATGTCATTTCCTTAGTTTAGCACTACATTTTGTACACCAAAAAGGAATTTCTCTTCCAAGAATTATCACTAGAAACAAAAACTTGAAGAAAAACAATGTACTGGCAGATAGACAAGATTTGTTTCAGAAAATGAACCTAATATTTAGAGCGTGTGTTCAAGGACTGAAGGCGAAGGTGCCAGACCCAGTGACACTCTGCACTTCCATTTCCCTCTCCCATACCTTCAGCAGCTCAAGTGCATTCCTCCTCCGCAGAGAGGGGCCAGACTGGTGAGGGTCCTGGAGCTGAAACAGCCTCCCCCTCCTTCCAGCTTACATTCAGATGCAGAAAAATTCTGCCACCCAACAGTGTCATTTGAAGAGGTTATGCATGTGCATATAAATCCCCAAGCACAAAGCACCTGTAGGGTTTCTTATGATCTCTTTTCCTCTACCTTGTCCCCTCTCTGGCACTGGAGCCAAGCCCTGGAGAAACCAAGGCATTCACCCGGGCTAAACGCCCTGTAATCTTCTGGTTAACTTCTGTAGCTGACAGAAAAGTTCAAGCCTGATCAGGCAGCTCTAACAAGTATTCCTGTCCAGTCCACCTCCCTGTCTCTGCCCCCACTCTACTTGAGATCATGGAAAGTAAAAAAATATGTGAAATAAATTTTACACTTTCAAAAACCAAGACTGCTGAGGCTGGGGATTTAGCCCAGCAGTTCGGTGGCCTGCCTTGCAAGCGCAAGGACCCGAGTTCAATCCCTGGTATCAAAAAAAAAAAAAAAAAAAAAAAAAAAAAAA